CACTGCGGTCACCTCCGCCGCCGTATCCGCCACTGCGGCCGCCCCAACCCCCACTTGTTCCCCAACCGCCGCCGCTGCTCTTTGAAGAATCCGCAACTGCGGCCCGTGTTTCCTCTTCCGCTTTGTCATCCCACCCTGCACGCATCTCTGCCCCGACTGCAGGCCGCGGAGGCGGGCGCGAGCCCGCCCAACCGCCGTGAAACCTACCGTCGGCGCGGGCTTGAGCCGAACGTGCATGGAGGAGGAGGATGAGGAGGAGGAGGGTGAATGTGAGGAGGATGATGCGTTCCTGGGAGGTGTGCCTTCGCGTGCAACACAAGAGCCCTGAGAATTCCTGAGGCCCCTCCAACAGCCAAGGACGCGGATGACAAGAAAGTCGAGAAGATTGGGAACCGATTGAGGATTAAGAGGCGTGCGACGAAAGGGATGATGATGACGAAGAGGAAGATCAGTGAAGGGGAGGAGCGGACAGGAATTATGGAGGAGTGATAGCAGAGGAGGAAGAGGGGGAAGGGGGAGGAGGAGGAGGAGGAGGAGGAGGGAGAGGAAAAGGGGGAGGAGGAGGAGGAGGAAGAAGGTGAGGAGGAGGAGGAGGAGGAGGAGGAGGAGGAAGAGGAGGAGGAGGAGGAGGAGGAGGAAGAGGAGGAGGACGACGACGACGAGGAGGAGGAGGAGGAGGAGAGGGAGAAGGAGAACGGGGACAGGAGGACAAGGACGGAGAAATATAACAAATGAGGGGGAGGAGGCGGAGGAGGAGGAGGACGAGGAGGAGAAGCAGGAAGAGGAGGAGGAGAGGGGGGAGGAAGAGTGCGCGTGAGACTGGGAGAACGAGGTAATTAATTAGAGAGGGAACGGGGGAGGAGGGAGGACAAGGAAGAGCATACAGCGACGAGAAGAGGAGAAGGAACAGACGAAGGCTCCTGCTGATCGCATTTCCGCATCGTTCAAAGCAGTGCCGGGGCACTGCTTTGAACGACTGGTGATGTTCAAAGCAGTTCCCCGGCACTGTGTTCCATCGTCGCCGTTATAAGGGCTATTGGATTACATACATACATACATACATACATACATACATACATACATACATACATACATATGTATATACATGCATGCATGCATGCATGCATACATACATACATGCATGCATGCATGCATGCATGCATGCATACATATGTGTGTATATATGTATGTGTATATATACATACAGATATACCCAAAAACATCGTGCGCGCTTCGCGCGCGCTTAGGTTCTAGCTGGTCGAGTGCTGACCGCATTGGGACAACAAGGCGGTCATGAGTCATGAGTAATGGAATCAACATTATATGATTCCTCCTGCCTCTTCCTCATTCCTCCTCCTCCGCTCTCATCGACCTGTCGACCGGTGATCTGTCGCCAAGCTATGGGCCAGGAGAAATGCAGCGCTACAGCGCCATGATGCCCTATGCTATGGAATGCCATGGTACACCATGCTACGTTATAAAGCGTAATGTCACGATGCAGTATGCAATGCAATCACATGATATACTCTACAGTACGCATTGCATGTCAAGCCATGCTGTGCTGTGAGATGCTATGATAATATATGCGATGATACGCTGAGCCACATCATGCTAACGTCATGACGTGCAGTGCTAGGATCAGTTAGACACTGCTATGGAATGTAATGCTATGGCATACTGAGTCCATACTGGGAGCTCCGCGGTTGAGAATTTGAAACGGCCGACTGGACGCACACGCTAAGTACTACCACCCGTAGTACACGCTAAGTGCGGGAGCACTTGGCGTGCAATGCCGATCCCTGAGCACACGCAGAGAGTAGGACCCCGACCGTAAACGATACTGACCTTCCCCCCCGCCGTGCGGCAGTTGGCCGTGGCACCGTCCTGCGCTCTCGAACCTCACGCCGCCGTCGGATCAACAGCGGCGGCCTCACCGCGAGCATCGGTGGCGCGCCCGAGGTCGGCCAGCGACGCGCCCCCGCCTCTCTCTGCAGGCGAGTGAAGACCCGACCGAGGCGCACTGTCGGCCGCCGCCCGCCAATCGCCCCCCTCCACCCAGGCGCTCACGCGCTGGCGCGACCTCGACGGCTGGGCGCCACGCTCCGCAGCGTTCCACGCCGCCCGCAGCTCAGCAGCGACTGCCCCACCGTGAGGACCGCCGGCGCGCCCCGACGGCCCTGAGTCGCAGACTCGCAGAGGCCCCCACCGGCTTTGACCTGCGGCCTCGCCCCCCGGTGACGGCTCCGTGCCGACGCGCTGCCCCCGCCAGCGCTGCCCGCTGCCCTCCCGCCCCGGCCAGCACCCGTGCTGGCGCCGCCGCCCGCCGCTCCCGCCTCTGCCTGCCGCCCGCTGCCCGCCGCCGCCCGCGGGACCCGTTCCGCCGGTGCCCGCTTGGCGCCGCTGCCCGCTGCTCCCCGCCACTGCCCATTACCAGCCGCCCCCCGCCGCATTGCCTCGAGAGGGGCCACGAGTTCCCCCCTCTTCACTGACCCGCTTCCAGGGCGTCCCTGGAAGCCACACTTGGCCCGGCGCTACTTCGCATATCCGGGGTGTGCCTGCTTCATCGGTCGTGTGGCTCGTCAACCCGCCAGCGTGCGCCCGTGGAAAGTGGAAGCGAAAGTGAAAATGAAAGTGAAAGTGAAATTGTGTGTTGTGTGTGTTGTGTTGTGTTGTGTGTGTTATGTATTGTGTGTTGTGTGTATGCGTGTGTGCGTGTGTGCGTGTGTGTGTGGGGGTGTGTGCGGGTGTGTGTGTGTGGGTGTGTGTGTGTGTTGTGTGTGTTGTGTGCGTTGTGTGTGCTGTGTTGTGTATTGTGTATTGTGTGTGTGCGTGTGCGTGTGTGGGGGTGCGTGTGGGTGGGTGTGGGTGCGTGTGGGTGCGTGTGGGTGCGTGTGGGTGCGTGTGGGTGTGTGTGGGTGCGTGTGGGTGCGTGTGTGCGTGTGTGTGCGTGTGCGTGTGTGTGCGCGCGTGTCGTGTCACAGCTGCCGTGGCACCTTGCCTCGCCGTTGGCCAGGGCCCCCTCGGCCTTGGTTTCGGCTTTCGCCTCGTCCACTTTCTGGGCCCGCCGCTCCCCCTTTTGGCGTGGCCCCGCCCGCTCCTGCCCGCCTTGGCTTGCAGCGCCGTTGCGCGTCGCCGGGCCGTCACCGCTCTCCCCACGCCCTGCGCCTCGTAGGCCCTCTTGGTCTCGGCGCCCTCCCGCCTTGGCAGTCGATCGCGGGACCACACCTTCTGGTTCGGCGGGTCATGTCCCTGCTTTGCTAGCCTTGCTCCCACTACTGCCGCCCTGCCGTGGGCTGCATTCCCCCCCTAGCTTCATCTAAGCGCAGACCAGTGCAGTTCATTGCCGGCGCTGGTCCCCCCCTCGGCGCCCTCCCTGCCAGTCGTTGCCTCTGAATGGGTCCGGCCTCCTCTCATCCTGTTGCGCCGGGGCTCCTCCTCTTCTTCTGTGCATTGCGGCCTCAATTTGCATACAGCGCGTCCCCTCTTGCCCTTCCGCCAGAGCAGTCACCCTCTGCCCAGCCGCCGACGCAAAAATTGTGTGCGTGTGTGCGCGTGTGCGCGCGTATGTGCGTGTGTGCGTGTGTGTGTGCGTGTGTGCGTGCGTGTGTGCGTGTGTGTGCGTGTGTGTGTGTGCGTGTGTGTGCGTGTGTGTGTGTGCGTGTGCGTGTGTGTGCTTCTCCCCCCCCCCCCGGCGCCGCCCCGCCGCTGCCGGGACTTGCCTGAACCTGCACGGCTTCCTCTCTTCCCGCCTGCGCCGGGCGTCCTCTCCTCTTCCACCGTACACCGCGGCCCAATTTGCATCTAGCGCGCCCCACTGATGCCCGATCGCCGGAGCAGTAACCTCTGCCCAGCCGCCGACGCAAAAAGTGCGTGAGTGTGCGTGTGCGTGCGTGTGCGCGCGTGTGCATGCGTGCGTGCGTGTGCGTGTGCGTGTGCGTGAGCGTGTGCGTACGCGTACGCGTGCGCGTGCGCGTGCGCGTGCGCGTGCGTGCGTGCGTGCGTGCTTGTGTGTTTGAGTGTTTGTGTGTTTGTGTGTTTGTGTTTGTGTGTTTGTGTGTTTGTGTGTTTGTGTGTGTGCTTGTGTGTTTGTGTGCTTGAGTATTTGTGTTTGCGTGTTTGTGTTTGTCTGTGTGTGTGGTTGTGTTTGTGTTTGTGTGTGTTTGTGTGTTATGTGTTGTTGTGCTGTGTGTTGTGTGTTTGTGTGTTTGTGTTTGTGTGTTCGTGTGCTTGTGTGTTGCGTGTGTTTGTGCCTGTATGTTCGTGTGTGTTTGTGCGTGTTCGTGTCTTGTGTCTTTGTGCGTTTGTGTGTTCGTGTGTTCGTGTGTTTGTATGTGTGTGTGGTGTGTGCTTATGTGCTTGTGTTGTTGCGTTTTCGTGTTTCTGTGTTTATGTGTGTTCGTGTGTTTGTGTGTTTGTGTGCTTGAGTGTTTGTGTGTTTGCGAGTTTGCGTGTTTGGGTGCTTGGGTGCTCGTGTGCTAGCGTGTTTGTGTGTTTGGATGTTTGGGTTTTTGTGTGTTTGTGTAAAGGTGTGTGTTTGTGTGTGTGTTTGTGTGCTTGTGTGTTTGTGTGTTTGTGTGCTTGTGTGTTTGTGTTTGTGTGTATCTGTGTATGTGTGTTGTGTGTGTTGTGTGTTGTATGTCGTGTGTTGTGTATTGTGTGTATGTTGTGTGTGCTTGTGTGCACGTGTACGTGTTTGTGTGCGCATACACCCACCATGGCCCAAACGGTCCACGATACCCCATGGGAGTGTTCAGAGGGGGACGGGGAGATGACTGGCGATGATTGGGCCCTCGTTGCGCTTGTTCTGCCTTGTGCTTTGTTTATCTTCAAGTACCATTGAGCGAAAGGTGCACGCTGGATGCAATCACCAACCAGTCCTTCAGATCCAGGCGTCTGCAAATCTACATGTCAGGGCCGCCTCAAGCAGAATGCGCATGTACAACCGACGGCGTGACGATAATCCACAAGAGCCACCGGGAGTGCCTGCGCCTCCGAATATATCATGGCCTCGATGTGGTCCACGCAACCCCCATTACTCGACTTATCCGCCCACACAGAAGTCGCCGACCCCCGCTTGCCAGGAGTGAGAAGGCGCGTGAGATGATTGGCTGTCCCCTCTCCCTTCTCCCCCTCCCCCGAGATCCAAAATCTCGTTTCGGGCGGAGGGGAAGGGATCTGGGGGCTCGCCGGCGCCTCCCCCGAGACTCCAGAGCTTCAAAATCTGCCTTCCGTGACCCCAAAGACGTTCCAGGACGGTCCCGGATCGCTGAACGGTTGGCCCAAGACGCTTGCGATGGCTCCAAGACACCCAAGACGCCTTCGAGACGCCCCAAGAAGCCTCCCAAGAGGGCGTCGAAGTGCGATTTGGGCGTTCTCGCCTTTTCTGTTTCCCGACGCTCTAAGACGGCCAAAGAGGCCCCCACGAGGCCCCCAAGACAGTCCAAGAGGCCTCCAAGACGGCCCCAAGAGGGCGAGCGGCCCAAGACCCCACGAGGCTTTCGACATGCCCCACGAGCTTTCCCAAGAGGGTCCCGAGAGGCACAGATCAATGGCTCCCCCAGGTCTTTCAGTGTTTCTGGGGCTCAAGCCGTCTGCAATCGCGATCATCTGAGCATCTGAAGCCTTCTGCCTCCTCCACCTCCCCCCCCCTAGAGGCGCCCGCTGCGGCCGCGGCAACTTTTTAGTTACTATTTCTGCCCACGCCTCCTTAATGGATGCACGGCTTCTGACCTGACCTGTTTGGACGCCCGAAATGGGTACGGAAAGAATGGGTACAATGCTCAACAACAAGTGTTCCCAAACCAACAGACAGGCCGCGGCGGCGCGGACAGCAAGTCCTGTTCAAAATGAACAGGAACTTCTGTTGAGCATTGTACCCATTCTTTCCGTGCCCATTTCGTTCGTGCAGAACCTGGGGTGATCGTCTTCTCGAGAATCCGACGCTCCAAGACGGCACGGGAGGCCCCGCTGACCGCCCCAGAGCTGCCCAAGCGGCCTCTACGAGGGCCCCAGGACGGCCCAAGAAGGTTCCAAGACGGCCCAACGAGGGGCCCAAGACGGCCAAAGATCGCCCCAAGAGAGCCCCACGAGAGGCAAAGACAAAGAGGAAGAATACGAACCGAACATCCTACCTTTCCCCCCAAGAGGCCCCCCACAAGCCTCAAGAAGCCCCCAAGCGGCCCAAAAGCGGCCCCCAGAGCCCCAAGAGGCCCCCGAGACGCCCACAGGGCGCTCCAAAACTGCCCCCAAGAGGCTCCGTCGGGCCCCCAGACGGCTCCCAAGACGCCCGCAGGAGTCCCAAAATAGTGCCCCAGAAGCCCACGACGCCTCCACCGTGGACTCCCCGCCTCTTCTGGGGGTGGGCGGAACGGCGCAAGCCTGTTGACTCAAAGTCCACGCCGTCGTCGTTGTCGGGAGGTCTCGTGGCGCCCTGCATGGGGTCGGCCGTTCGGAATGACTCGCCGAGGGCAACGCGAGAAACAATTAACGTCCTCGTGGCATTCTTTGCCAACGGATTTGCGCGCTCCTCTGTGTAATCGTCGCTTTTAGAAGAATTGGCAGCGAAATATGAAGCGGTACCGAAGAGCTTGCCAGTAGCCTCGCCACCCCGCTGCGGGTTGAAACCACCCTTGCATATTTGTTCTAAGGTGGACCGTACAGCCCCGTGGAATAAGAAGTGCTCGTTCAGGTCGAAGTCGTGCATGTTCACTGGCACCTTCAAATGCGAGAGGGCCGCAATCGGAGAGCACGTGCCTTGTCGCCTCCTCTTGCCTTCGATATTCTCGAGTTTTGCCAGATATGATTTTTGCAATCTTGGGTTCACTACGGATCGCACCTGAATAACATCCAGCTGCGGCGGATCACAATACACTGCAGACAGGTAGTCCGCCCTGTGCCTTGCGACTGTGCTGACGACAATGTGCGACATGAACTTGCCGAATGGGGCATCTCGTGGAACTGGGTCGATTCTGTATTCCAAATCCGAAGGCCCCCGCCTGCCCGGGGTGACAAGTCGCGTGAGATGAGCGGCTGTCCCACTCCCCCTTTCCCCTTACCTGGGGGGAGCGCCCAAATCCCGTTGGAGGGCGGGGGACCAGGGGTGGGGGGGGAAGACCTCGCCAACGCACCTCCGGCGCCCTCCGAGCTTCCAAATCCACCAGTCGCGGGCCCTAAGGTGCCTTCTAAAGGAGCTCAAGAAGGACTCCGGCAAGCCAGAGAGGCTTCGATCACACCCAAGATGGCGTCAAGACGGCCCAAGAGGCCCTCAAGACGCCCCAAGATGACCCCAAGATGGCCCCAAGAGGAGCTACAGCAGGGCGTCAAGAAGCAAACACCATAGATTTTCAGCATATGCTAGCCAGCGTGGACCCCAAACAGTGATTTCTTGCAATCTACGCGGTGCAACCTAGGTGGCGCGATCAATATGGTGCAATCTAGGTGGTGCAATCCATGTGGTGCACTCTGTGTAGCGTAGAACAATACAACGCAACGGCGGCGACGGGCGACAACGAGCTGGCCAGACCGACACCAGGGCCCATTTACTTTAGAACACAACTAAGAACTCCCAAGTGCGAGCACTGATTGGGGACACAAGTTTTCAAGTTTGTTTCGCGTTCTCGCTTCTCTGGGCTTCGTAAAGCCCGAGGCGGACCGCGAAGTTCCCCCCGAACATGCCCAAGACGGGCCCCAAGAGGGCCAGGAGCCGGCAGCGAGGGCCCCAAGATGGCCCAAGGGACCCCCAGGACGGCCAACCACGTTCTCAAGAGGGCCCTACTTGCCCAATTGAGGCCCAAGAGGGGGAACTCGTAGGGCCCCCAGGGGCCCTCCCCACAAGACGGCCCCTCAAGGCTTTCTACATGCCCTCTAGAGGCATCCAGGAGGCCTGAAACTCCCAGCTCCCGACAGGCCGCCCCCGAAGCCTCCAAAGCTCCCAGGAGACCTGAAACAGCTCCCAACAGGCCGCCCCCGAGGCCTCCAAGAGGCCCCCAACGAGCTCCACCACAGACGCGGAAGAAGAGGAGGGCGAATCGGCAACATCGCACGCAAGTATCACCATGGGGAACAGCAAACAACACATGCCGCATCGGAAACCGCGCCTCTCCTCTTCTGGGGGTCGGCGGACTTGCGAAAACTCGTTGGCTAAACGGAAAGACGTGGCAACTGGGCAGCTTGCAGAATCTGATTTTTCTCCAAAACCTCTTCGAGAATGAATGCATTGTGCTGATGGCCAAAGCCCGCTCCTTGAAGCTCACCACCATCGGTCGCGAGCCACAACTTCAAAGTCTTGTCGGCTGAACCAGAAAGAATCCTCTTCCCGTCTGGAGAGAAGCAACAACAAGAAACCCAACCCTCGTGCCCACTCAAGGTCTGCAGCAGCGTTCCGTCGGTCGCGAGCCACAACTTCAAAGTCTTGTCGCATGAACCAGTAAGAATCCTCTTCCCGTCTGGAGAGAAGCAACAACAAACAACCGAATCCTCGTGCCCATTCAAGGTCTGCAGCAGCGTTCCGTCGGTCGCGAGCCACAACTTCAAAGTCTTGTCGGCTGAACCAGAAAGAATCCTCTTCCCGTCTGGAGAGAAGCAACAACAATAAAACGCATGCTCGTGCCCACTCAAGGTCTGCAGCAGCGTTCCGTCGGTCGCGAGCCACAACTTCAAAGTCTTGTCGTATGAACCAGAAAGAATCCTCTTCCCGTCTGGAGAGAAGCAACAACAAGAAACCCAACCCTCGTGCCCACTCAAGGTCTGCAGCAGCGTTCCGTCGGTCGCGAGCCACAACTTCAAAGTCTTGTCGCATGAACCAGTAAGAATCCTCTTCCCGTCTGGAGAGAAGCAACAACAAACAACCGAATCCTCGTGCCCATTCAAGGTCTGCAGCAGCGTTCCGTCGGTCGCGAGCCACAACTTCAAAGTCTTGTCGGCTGAACCAGAAAGAATCCTCTTCCCGTCTGGAGAGAAGCAACAACGAGAAACCGCATGCTCGTGCCCACTCAAGGTCTGCAGCAGCGTTCCGTCGGTCGCGAGCCACAACTTCATCTTGCCGCATGAACCAGTAAGAATCCTCTTCCCGTCTGGAGAGAAGCAACAACAAACAACCCAACCCTCGTGCCCACTCAAGGTCTGCAGCAGCGTTCCGTCGGTCGCGAGCCACAACTTCAAAGTCTTGTCGCATGAACCAGTAAGAATCCTCTTCCCGTCTGGAGAGAAGCAACAACAAACAACCGCATCCTCGTGCCCGCGTATGGTTTGGCTGGCAGAAAACGTCATCGGACGCAAGCTGCGACTCCAAGCCGAACCAATAACACGACACTCGAACCTCAATGGAAGATCAACACTTGAACGGGGATTAAGCTATACCGTGTACGCATACATCTCGACCCCGAACGATCATAAAACTGGGCAGGTCGGACCCAACGGAACGCAATCGCCCGAAAAAGTACCGACCCTCTGACGATACAGTGGGTGCGCATGGCCAACCGAAGGCGGCACACGGGTTCGGATTCAGGCAATCATGGACGAAGCGACGGCGGTCCCGTGACGCCGTCAAGCGCCACAACTATCACGTCGCCTCAAGGCGCACAGGACACTGAACCAACGGATTCGGGAGCCACCTCGAGCTCCGCCCGGGTCGAGTGCCGATCTGGCAGGACAGGCTGTGCCCCGCTGCGTGCTGCCGCAGCCTGGGCGGCCGAGCCCCCGACGGGGGGTGCGACCGATGGTGTGGCCCATCGGCCGGCTCGGCGAGCGAACTGATCATACTCCGCCAACCCCGTCGGCATGTGTGAGAGGCTTTTCCGGTTGAGTCCTCGTCGTCGTCGTCGCCGCTCCCCCCCCCGACGCTCGAGTCGTCGTCGTCGTCGTCGTCGTCGCTTCCCCCCTTTCCCTGGGCCCTCCTCCTCAAGCTTTCCAGCCAGGGAAAATATCGAGCAACGTCGTGATCGAGTCGAAGTGCGGCCCCTTCCCTCTGATCCCTCCCGCGCCGGGGCGGGGGGCGTCCTGGGGGGCTAGGGGGGGGCCCAAGGTTGTGACCGCCCCCCCCCCCTGGGGGGGTAGAGGTTGTATCTCAGTGCCCTGGAACATGGCGTTTTTGCACCGATTTGCTCCGTGAAATGACAGGATGCATGAGAAGAGGAATCTGGTCAATGGTAAGCAGCTGCCGACTCACATAACGAATGCATGCCATGTTTCCTTTGTCCAAGCAAGAGGGCAGCTGAGCAACGCGGATAAGCAGTTCACTGAATGGCAGCATGCGCCAACATCATAACTGACACGAACAATACTCAGTCTGTTGGCGACGCTTTGAGTTAATTCGTGGGGAAGCCCACTTCCGTGAAAAAAGCAGAAGTGGAGCGAGCACGCATCGACGCCCCAGAAACGCATTGCAAATGTTCACGGAAAAGCGACGGAGGCAGGCCGCTTGCGCGGGCGGGGCATCACCGCAGCAGCTGATGGCTTCTTGCGCAAAATGTTGGCACTAGCAGCGCTGGGCCGCTTTCGCGGGCGCGGCAACGCCGCAGCAGCCGCTGGCCTCCTGCGCAACACTTTGGCGCTAGCAGGCAAGCGGCAGACGTCGACGCGCGGATTCGCGCGCACTGCCAGGCGCAACTTTGGCGCGATCTTCGGCGGGTGCTGGGTGAAGGCGCACAGCGCAGCCTGAAGCAGCTCGCGCTCCTGGCGGTGCTCAATCAGGGGCAGACTCTTCCTGGCCCAACCCGCCAAAAGCTTGGCGAACGTGCATATTGAGGACACAGCGCGCGCGTTCCGCTCGGTCTGAACGAACACGTTGCGGATAAATGCTTTCAGTTGCAGATGGAATGCTTCATTCCTTGTGGTCCTGTACATCACCTGAACGCTGGGGTTCCTTGCAATGAATCCACCGAGATTCAAAAGGTACTCAAGCTGCACAGGTGAGGCTGCAGATCGCAAGCTCGCAAGGATAGTAGTCCTCTTGATGGTCGTCTTATTCATCTCCCGCGGGAACATCTTGCACACGGCAGCGATGTCCTGAATGAAGGAGACGGCGTTGCGATACTGTCGCTCGGGGTAGCCCTCGGCCTCGATCGCCGACACGGCTCTCCGACAGCGAGGACAACGCATCTCCCGACATCGCCGCAGAGGCGTCCGACAGCGAGGACATCGCATCTCCCAATGAAAGCGAGTCCGTCCGCCGTCGCTGCCCACGGAAATACGGCTTGCCATCGTCCAGGCATTTCGAGAACTTCACTATGCATCGGCGGATGAGATTCGATAGCGGAGTGCGCTTCTCGCCGGACGCCTGCTCGACCTTGAGCGCGACGCGCAGGGGGCCCTTGGAGAGGCATTGCAGCCGCGGGAACGCGGCGCGGAGGGCCGGGTCCTCCAAAGAGATGGGCGCGTCAGAACAGATCATGCGCACCTGCGTCGCGCCGCTCGCGTGGCCGACGGCTTCGAGCAAAGCCTTCCCCAGGGTTTGCAAACGGGGCGCTGGGGGGCGGGGCGGCAGCCGAACGCGTTATTGTTTAAATGATTTCTACAGAAAACTGACGCGCACAAAAGCGAGGCCCCCCCTCCCTTCTCGCCCGGATTGATAACGATGTATCGACGTTTCTGTCGCTGCGATTTAACGCGGCTGGCGCGAGCTAAATGCCCCGTCACCCCGTCCTCGGTCAGTTAGTTCCCCCAGCCGCCGCCCCGCCCACTGCCGCTCCGTTCGCAAACCCTCGGCCTTCTTCGCATGCACGAATGCCTCCGACGGCGCCGGCTTCACCAAGAGAACCGAGTCCATGCACTGAACCGACAACTGGACGTGAACGCCAGGCTTCCGTTCACCACCGGGTGCTCCGTGTTGCGTCTGGTACAAAACCGAAAACAGGGTTGAGTACTGCCCGTCAATGCCGATCACAGTCTCGTCCGCCTCCTCGCGGCACTTCGCCATCATGTTCTTGATGCGGCAATGTTTCAATAAACCCTCTACGAATGTCCAGTGAATGCGAGCATCGTCTGGAAAAAGATACCGGGTGAAACCTGCAGCGTCCTTCACGTGCGCCCAAGCTCGCTTCTTGGACCCCTTGGTGTCCGGGTGGAGTAAGGCGGACAGGAACGACGCCATGAAGTCATTCGTGCAGTGATAATGATCGCTGGCTCGGTGGAATGACTCTGCACCCGCGCGTAGAATAAAACGAGTGCGCTCGCCAGCATCGAGCAGGAGGGCTGCGTGTCGATCGGAGTCAGTCCACGTGAGCTGATGCCTCACCTCGTCCCAAGATGGACACTCCTCACACCCCTTCCGAATGAACTCAGCGCTCCGCAAAAGCAGCGAGCGAGGCCCAGGCTCATCTCCGCCCGTAGTCCAGAGACTTGCAGAACGCTGGCATATAGCCGAGGCATGGATACACATCGCATGGATTATACGCATATGTTTGTTCGGGGCGCCGCATAAGCTTCAGCGCTCTCTGCCTCGTTGAGCGTCGACAGAGTAGCTTCGGCTTCTTGCCTCATCATCGCTGTGAGCTCCACTGGCGTCTTCGGCTGGTAAGAAATTTTGCCGCCGCCAACAAGGTCGCACGCTTTGTCGTCCATTGCAAGCAGATCCCCCTCTGGCAAGATATCCAAATTGAAAAACACCAGGCGAGCCACCCGGAGCCAGGCCATCCGGAATTCGTGCGGCAGAATGTCGATATGCTGGCCGATCGAACTGTCCATGATAGAAAGCGAGCCGTCCCGACGAAGTATCATCGCAAAAAATGGCCAGTATCTGCTGAATGTGGTTGCCAGCAGAGACACTTGCGATCCTCCAGAGCTGCCGCAGATAATAAGACCTGACTACTTACCAGACCACTGTCACCCGACCCGCAAACCCAAATATAGGGTCGGGGGCTCGGGCTCCAACGTGATTTTCCCCCCTCCCCCGATTTTTCTGGAATCTCCCCCGCTGGAAATGAAAAGCGAACTGGGGCCCTCGGATTACAAGTTGATTCCCTTTGTAGCGGATTACATGTTGATTCCCTTTGTGGCGGATTACAAAAGGATTCTCCCTTTGCGGCGGATCTACTAATTGAGTCCCCTTTTGGCGGATTGCAAACTCATTTCCTTGGTGGCGGATTTCAAATTGATCCCTATTGTGCGGCCTTCAAATAGAATTCCAGTGCGCCGGCTCAGAGGGACGGGGGTTCGGGGCCTGGCCAACGAAAAACACAAAAAAGACAAAAAAAACAATCTGGGGGACCAAAAACGCTGCGTTTTAAAATGTAAAGCGGTTTTTAATTGAAAACCCGAAAACACAAAAAAAAAAAAAAAAAAAAA